TGATGTTGTAAATATTTAACTTTTCAAAGTCTCAAAGAAACAAGTTTGCCAAGAAAGCAACACAAAACAAATAAATCAATTTTGTTTTCACGTGCCAACATAGGATTTTTAGACTAACGAAAATGATGAAACTCGACTCGGGACTGATCAAGTTAACATTTCTTTTCAGGTGGATCCACCCAGGTTTCAGCCGCTCTTGCAGTCCTTGTGTCGTCTGTTCTGATGGCCGTTTTCGCGAGGCAGTAGCTCCATTTGAGATCGGAGGGCATCGGTCCATCCAAGTCAAATATACACACACAGTACATCCACGATTTGTAATATCTGACTTTCTAGGTTTACTGTCACACGTTCCAGTGTCTCTTACTTTTGCAGTGCTTTTTGAGCAATAATTGGATATGTACCGATGAGTCGACGAGAGACAATGAACACTGTGGAAAAATGAAGCTATCGTTAGTACCCGGATGCCAAGATGGGACTAACGATACGTGGAGAATTCGCAGCATGGTTTGAAGCCTGGTTCCTACTCTGCGCGAAAGCGAAAGCGAACGCGAATTTGTGACGTCGTGGCAAGTATTCGCGCTGAGAATTCGTAAAAGTTGAACATATTTCAATCGGGCGAATTTCGCAACGAATGTTTTATGACGTCAAATTCGCTTCGCATTCGCTTTCGCATGAAGTATGAACCGGGCTTTATTTTAACGTGTGGATATCGTCGGTATCGCGAACTCTGACCGAAACTCCGCGGCCATTTTTGAAATAGCTACGACGAGGGCTTCGTGAAGATCACAACGTCATCTTCAGCATAATTGCCTGGGTTTCTCTCCGAGAATGTTAGGGCGTAGGAAAACAAAGGTGGCCGCCGCGTTTCTGTTCAAACATTATTTTGGTGTTAATACATATATTTCCCGCCATTGTTGTATCGTAGTGTAGAATCTACCAACTTCAGATTGTAAGCACTCCTTAGCCTCCAATTCATCCAACTGAAAGTTTCGTGCACCAATTTTCAACTAAGTGTTGCCATTAAGTGTTGCCTTTATAAAATTGACTGTAATGACTATAGGTAAATCAGACCAGAGGTTAAGTCTATACGGTCTGGGTTTATTTTTTTATTTTTTTCCCTATGATTTGCATATAACTTTTTCTGTGTCCAGTTGAAGTATCTAGGCAGACATCAGAGTTGTTAATCAATCGTCATGCATCACCATAATCATAACTGTGTACTTTGTCAGTCTGCATGGTTGTATTAAATTAACACAAACTTGTGATTGTATAAATTTATTGTCTGGTGGGAACCACTGAAGATTTTTGAGATTCCTTCTTTTTTTCGAATAAAAAAAACCTGATGTAGTTGACTCCGTTGCTGTTCGACTTTTAAAATGGTGCCTTTTGTAAAAAAAAAAAAATTTAAAAATAAAACTGGAGATGTTTGCGTTTAACGCTGAACGTTGAAGTAGAGAGTCAGAGAGGAGATAAAAATTAACAGATGTGCAAATAACTGGCTAAAAAAACGGCAAAGAAAGAATCGTATGTAACAAACTTGACTAATGACCTTAATTTAATGAAAACAGTCATTCGTCGTAAAAGATGTACTCCTAGTGCTCTTCATCAAGATCGACGTTTTTCTTTCCAACTTACAACTCGTGTTTTATCTCCTGACAAAAACCCTACTTTTGTCGGTGGGGGCGTCTAGACGGCTCTTTTGTTTTTTGCAGATCCGTCCTGCATTTTGATTTCGTATTCCAAAGTGAGGACCATTTGGCAAGAGAAACTGAGCAATGATGTTTGTTTCGCGGTGAAACTCAACGGTTCATCGCAAACATTGTGTTAGTGATGATGTATCCCTATTACGTTCGCATTGACGTTCGCATTGTCGCCTAGTTACAGATTCAAAACAGAAGGTAATGTACGAAAGAACACGACCTCACATTATTTCCAGGCTGTACAGTCACTGGCGAACCCGGGGAGAGACAAAGAGGTTTTAGGGTCATTGTGTTTAAATGGTGATATTCTTTGAACGGATTGAGCAATTTCAGTAATTTTTTTCATCTTAAAGTAGCATATGAAATTGGCTTTCCAGTCATCATTATGTTTGGTGCTACATTTTTTTTAAAATATGAAATATAATTTTGGGGTTCGGGTTCCGCTTTCTTTTTACTCACCCTGTATATTTACATGGCTTTGCAGTCTATTTGGTGTGACTTTCAACATTGTGACAAGAAGAAAATGACCGATTCCAAATTCATACTTGCAGGAAACAAAGTTTTTATTAATTGTGGCCATGAGGAAATTCTGAGGGAAAAAAATGTGTGCGCTGCCTATACACTTGGCTGAAGTTCCTCCACATCTGCAGCTGGCATTACGAATATTCGTCAACGAGTTCCCCTTTGTCTGATGTGCTCAAGTCTGGAATTCAATTCACTCATTTTGACGAGGGGTCTTGAACTCAGCCAAATTCTGTTTGTAGTAGATCGGGGTATTATTCTCTCACTGAATGCAATGAATGGCGTTCCATATCAGACAGCAAACACCAGTACCGCACGTTTCGAAATGTACCCGTAGCATGGGTTTCATAGGTTGCCTGACGTCCAACTATTTATCGCATTGAAAATTGCCCAGGAGCATTTCCTTTTGAGTTTTCAAAACTGTTCTTATGAATGACAATTTTAGCTTTCTGCGAATATGAGCACTCGCTCGCTAAAGAAGAACATGCGTTGAAGATTTAAAGTCAAGAAAGGGGGTCTGCGTCCATTCTTATTGAAATTTTGAAACCCGAATCACTTTGTAAACCATGCAGATTTGCCCAACAGATAAAATCTGAAAATCCAATCTGAAGTAGAGTATATATTTATTTATTTTTCTCAGAGCCAACATTTTTGTTCTGTGCATATACACGCATTGAAGAATAATTCAGTGACGACGTGGTCCACCTGTACCTTGTCAGATGGGCTTCAGGGACCATGGTGTATTCTTCGATCAGCGGTCTCTTATTTGTGTTCGTCAGCAGGATACTTTACTGTAATATGACCAAGCGGTGTTCGGATTGTGCTGTACGGGGAATGTTTTCGGGTTGATCGTCTGAACACACGACTTTGCACGACATGATGGGACTGGGATAGCATCACGTGTGAAGTTCTAATACTTAAATGTATAAATTGAATTCTACAGCAAACTTAAATTCTCTTTGACACTATCAAAAGTTAGGTCCATTATAGTGTTTAAAACTAGGGTTATTTAGAAATATCTGAGATTGATTTGCAACACCTCATATAAAAGGGTGCATACCTACGTTCCTCAATACCGATGTTCCCCAACCTTAACCCTAACCCTAATCCTAAGGATTTCGGGGAACATCGGTATTGGGGAACATCGGGTAGACCCATATAAAGTACGTATTAAGATTCCTTGGTATCCAAAATATAGGGTTTGTCGTGCCACCAAAATACACTTCAGATGACATTCGGTTTCAAAGCATTTTGCAGATTTGCGGATTAAAAACAAACCCGAGGGACTTGCCATCTATATTGGCCATCTGTCAGCTAGATTAATTACGTTTTAATTATTGAGATCCTTTGGCATTCGTGTTTCCCCCACTTAAATGCATGGCCTTCATCCGACATTCGGATACAAAGTCATTATGCGAATTATATCCGAGACTGTATTATAAGTACTATTTACTGTTCTTGCGATTTACAACTGCGAAAATTTCTACAAATATATGTAATACCTGGCCCGTATTTGTCAAACTCGCAGCGACAATGCACTTCATTCATCACGTTTATGTGCGTGTAAATAAAAACAACAATGGACAATGTTTACTCTCAGATCTCTCCACGACTACGACGAATTCGGTACAACAAAAAATGTGTGCGGGAAATTTGTTCAACTGTTTAATAGGTGAAAGATATAGGCCAATACTAGTGCATGCCTTCACAACAGTGTGACAACAGCGTGCCGTCTCCACAACAGTGGTGTCCTGAACAGAGGGACCGGTTTAGCCGAGTTTCGGCTAAATTTGACGGAATTTTTTTTGGGGGGGGGACGAGTTTGACAGAAAATCTAGCAGAATGAATTTTGTTATCATTCCTAGCAGAAATGTGAGAAAAAAAATGGAAAAAATGTAGCTGATTTGTTTGAAAAAGCTTCCATTTTATTTAAAAAAAAAACCTTGCACAACGGGACAGGTATATAGGCCCATAAGCCACAGGTAGGCCACATTACATTGCCGACGATGATAGCAAATACATCTGGTTTTAGTTTTAGATTCAATTGACAACAGATTGATGAGTCGTATTGTGAACATGCTCCATTTTCGTACAACAAAAGAGAATCGGAAAAAAAATGTTGCAACCTGACGCCACTTTTGTCTTCATATATCATCTCAATGAAGGTCAGTCATTGCAAAAATGATAAGACATGAATCTGGGACTCAGAAACATTTTCAATTTTGTTAGGAAATACTTTGAAAATATTGTTGACTCTCCGTATGCTTTGTACACAACCTGTGAAGTGGCATCTGGTTGCAACATTTTTTTTCCCCAGAGAATCATTTACTCGACACGAGAACAACATTGCCACGACTATTCTGCGATTTTTACGTATTGTCCATGTCCATGGCGAGCTTTTGCATAAATTGTCCTGTGGTTATTTTTCCAGCTCATTCGTCATCGATTCATTTTTGATGGATACAATGCCAGATACAATGAGAGGCCACTGGAAAGTCGGAAGGTTTTACAGTAGCCGCCACGGCAACCATTTTGGTGATAAACGTTGGCAAAGACATCACAAAGTTTGGCCTGTTTTGTCAAATTGTCATTAGATGGAACCTATTATGTGGAGATCAGAACGGACACTAATGTTTTCGTTTGAAGCAACGAAAGTGCTAAAAGTCTAAAGAAGGGTGCTAAACAACTAACCTGATGAAGGTTTATAGGTAAATGCTGTATATTCCCCAAAAAAATTGTGTTCTAGACAGCACCACACATTACATGTAAACTTTCACGCTTTGTTACAAAACACCAAACGGGTACTTTTATTCAGATGAAGACAGTGCAGGCTCTTTCACAGTGGGTAATCAGATTTAAAATTACCTAACAAGTTTACAACATAAAAAAGGCCAACTTAATATTACTGGCTCTTTGAAAAGAACTTTTGCCGACCATTTTTACTAGAGAAATGACCGAAAATGTAGGAATGTAGCAGAACTTTAAAAATTGTTCTAAGAAAAAAAATGCTGTGCACTTGAAGTAATAGTGTATCGTTGGCCGTTTTTCAGTTGACATTACTACAGTTTCAGTCGTGTGAACTTAATATTTGTTAAATGTTTGCTTAAAATACTTCTAGGCATTTAAGCATTTTCGGCATGTTATTCGACCCACACTAAACAGTTATGTCAACACTATTAAACCATTCAAAGTTTCAAGAGATATACATTCAGACTGCAGGAGAGAACTGTTTGATGAAAGTTGGCATCACGACAACGACCTCCCAATTTTGGAAACTATGTAACACTGTCTATAGCTTCTAGCTTTTCACACAGCTGTAAGACCGAAATGTTGTCGGCTAGTTGATGGCCCAAATGATATTGCTGAACCTTTTGAGCCAATTTGAAATTTCAGCATGAAAATTCTCATTATTTGGCACGCATTACAATATCAATGTCTTCTCTCTTTCTTTCAATACAAAACAAAACAGGCGTTTTTAAAATTTCATTTGTGCCTAAATTGTTTCCAAGCACAAGCTGACCAGCCAAACACTGAAAGGCGCTCCAAAAAAAAATCTTGTCACATTTTAGTAATATCAGGCATCCATGCTGAATCAATTTCGGTAAGTTTACTTTCGTCAAAATCGATTGATTCCAGAGGCCTTTAAGGTTTACAAAAAGAAAGTTTTTTTTAATAATGTAATTACAACACCCATCCAAAATGAAAGTTTGATTTTCAAAAATGCGTACTTCCTCTCCTGTTTTCATTGTATGGTTTCCATGAAAAAAAATCAACGTTCCCTAGAAAATCAAGTGTAAAACTGAGGTTGGCCGAATCCACTTGTAAAAAAAATATAAATGGTTCGTACCCAGTAGTAATGCTAGCCTTCTTGCAATCAAATATTAATTAAAGTTCAATGTAATCAACCATTCATTTCACCTTTTTTTTCTGAAATCAAATAACCAACACAAAGCCTTTGAAATATCTGAAACTGGAGAGTAAACTTCTAAAATGCCTATTTAAAACATAATTAAGAAAACAAAAAAAACCCTAAAATTTGAATTCCTTGTACTTCTTGGCTGCCTTCCCACTGTCTTGGCTCTGCTTCTTTCTCTTATTCTGTTAAAAAAGGGAAAAGACACAAAACAAAAGTTAAATAAAAATTATCAGTGTTGGCCTATTTCTAACACTGTGGAGTGCTATATTAGATTCGAACCAGCCAGCCGACCCCTGCAAGCTTGATGGTCGAGTGGTTAAGACGCTTGCACCCAAAAGCAGGAAGTCGTGGGTTCGAGTTCCATCTGAGTCAGCAAGTGAAAAACAGGCAGTACTAAGTTCAGTTTTAATTATATAACTGGCATACAGATCCTCTTCATTTGACTGGTGGAACTCACATCACGTGACATTCGTTATTGCTCTCATTCATGCCGGGGTTCAAAAAGTCCCATTCGCCCATGGGGAATGAGATTTACTATTCAACAGTTAGGATCATCCTTGTTCCATGGCGCGGTGTTTGTGTGAAAATGCATGCTGGCGTGCGCGTTGAGCGTTGCGCGTATTGTTCCAAGAGCCAGTTGCTACAGACTTGGGTTCAAACATTTCGTGAAGGGGTGGTTTAAGAGCGAAATACATTTCTCACCAATTTTGTATTGAAATAGAAGTCCATTTTTACCGTAAATCAAATGACAAGAATCTATGTCAGTTATATACAGGCCTATGTTAGTGGCTTTAAATTGTGAAATGGGAGGAATATTATCACTCGGTAAAACCTGTACTTTTCCATTTCACTCGGCTTCGCCTCGTGAAATAGAAATGTCAAGATTTTACCTTGCGATAATATTCCTCCAATTCCACTCTGAGCCACTCAATATTTGTATACTACATGTATTTTTTTTTAATGACAGACAACAATTATTGCATCTTAACTTAAAAAAGGGAGAGTTGTTAAACAAAAAATTGACTGGCACCAAAAGTGTAGAAAAGGCATGGTTTTTGTATTGCTAATCTCGAGTTAAAGCAACAGTACCGGTAAGTGCATTATCTAATTGGACAGTAAGTGCATCATTTAATTGGGCAGTGTGCCTACATTACAATTTCATCCATAAATGAAACATAAACAGATTGTCCATTGTCCTCCATGAATAAAGCAAGGTTTTTTTTCAGGTTTGTTTTGAACAGACATTGTTGAGCAATACCATTGTCTGCAGCTTGAACTTCATGCATCATACGATTCAAGTGGCTGTTTACAACAGATTTTATGATTTTTACAACGGCTATTGATCTCTCATCCTAACTCGACAACCATCACAGAAATACAAATAAAACGTTACGTAGTAACTCCCAGTTTTGCTTCAATGACCCTGACAGGGCTACTGGTACATGTACATGTATTTCATTTTATTCATTTTTTATTTTAATCTTATTTTAATTAGGTTGCCCATTCAGTGGAATCCACTGGTCTCTCATGGGGCCCAGTAAAGAGAAGACAATGTGAAGAAATTACAGTTTCAGATGTGGGAGAAAAACCAAAGAAAAACATTCTCAGGAAAAACAAACCCACGGAATCAAGTAGGGAGGCTGAAAACTTCATCAACATATTGACCGTAGCAGGAATCGAACCCGGGTCACAGCGGTGGAAGGCGAGAAAAGTACCGCTACGACAACCTGACTCCAGGGCATAATAATATCTTTTGAACTTTTACTTTCAAATAGTTACAGAAAAATGTGTAGTTTTACAAATCAGGCATGAGATTTTTCAGACTTCCGTCTGAAATCAGACTTTTTGAATCTGAAAGACATTATTACTGTAGTATAGAAAGATATGCATCTTTCAAGACCTTTCATCAATTTTCAGAATGTTTTATCCCTAACCTCACCTAAAGCTACAAAATACTTATGCGTAGTAACCTGTAGTATGCATTTCTTTCCATACAAGTGTGCACAACACATGTAGTATTCTGTGGTATTTGGTCCTTGACCCCCAAAGAGCATTTAGGACATAAGGGTTGACAATGTCATTACTGTATAAAACAACCCAATCCTACAACAAATCAACAAATGACATAATCTAGTTTGTAACAAAATTAACAAAATTGTTATAATTAAATTCTATGCAGAACAACTCCCAATTAGATTTTCACACGATAAGACACCAATGCTGAAAACTTGTACGTTTTTCGCATAAGAAGAACCCAAGTCTTTCTGGCAGCTAAACCCTAACCCCCTAGAGTGATTTACTAGGAACCTTCCTCACTCTTGCAAAATCCAACACCATATGGTAAAGTCTACACCCAAACTGTTGGACCCTGATTATGATGGTATGCCTGACCAATTGTAAAGCATAATCAGTTTACTAGTGCAGTCCTCACTCCAACAGATTCCAACAAAACATGCAGTTGGATTTTGAAGGGTTTTGGTGGTAGGGTTAATACGGAGGAGACATTTAAACATGCAACCCCAAAAAAGGATAATAATGTTATTTCAGCAAGCTTGACTTTCCATGCTAAGGCCAAAAAAAAAAAATTCGGTCTCTGGTCAGACCAAAGATCCGGAATTGACGCGGCCACGCGGCTTTTTTTTTTTTTTTTTTTTGCTTTTTTTTTTTCTCTTCAAGCTTGGATGGTACAGACAAGGTGGGTACTATTTTGCTTTTTTGGTGTCCTCATGTACATTGGTGTCCTACTTAATTTGCCTTGGTGCTTTCAATCATTTGCCTTGGTGCAATTTCCCATTCCTTGGTGCTCTTTGGTAAAAAAAAATTGAGGAGGTGCGGAAATAGAGGGCGCTGTTGGAGCTACCGCGGAACATTTTGGAAAAAAAAGATCGACGCGCATGATTAAAATCGACGCGCGCGCTGACCAGAGACCGACATATTTTTTTTTTGGGCCTAAGCCCGATCAAATATATTAGCATTAATTTTAAAAAAATTTGAAAGGACAAAAAGAAAATCATGCCCATATATAAGGCCTAAACAAATAAAAGGTATGTTTACAGTAACCTGACCTACCCGGATTTTTTAAGGTCAAATTGCCAACCTCAAACTTTTTATTGCCACACTTGGTCAACCATGTAAAATAAAATATATGTTTTGAAATAAAAATGTCTTCCCTATGCAGGTTTTTTGTGTGTTATTGGTTAAATAAACACTAAAACATGTTAATTAAATAGAATGCAGTCAAACGAAACCCTAAAGTAAATAAAATAAATATACATGTAAAAGGCCGACGGACAAACATAAAAAAGTTCTAAATATTTTCCTACCTACCCACATGGATAATTTTTAAGGAGTTACAATTTATTTTCTCGGCCAAAAACATAAATGACCTTTGTGCCTGGCAACAAAATATTGACTTAAAGTCATTAATAATCACGTATCTATACACAAGGTCAAAAAAGGGGGGGGGGGAATTAATATCCTGGTGCCTGCAATTTTCATCTACATGTGTAGCACTTGAAGAGGATTATAAAACCTTCAGGACAGTGATGACTCACTAGCTATAAAAGATAAACAATGAACGTTCTCTTGGTTTGGTTTGAAATTTTAAAGCAGCAATTGTCTTGCCGTGTTTTGTTGGCAAGCACACACAAACAAACAACGCGAGAGTGGAACCAGGGGTCAGCAGAAATAGGGAGACAGGTGGAAAACGTGTGATGTTCACCGACAAAACACAAAGCAATGTTATCGATTTCGAATGAATGCCAGTTATCCTGCATCCTGTATTCATAATCGCAAAGTAATTTCCAAAACTGTACACGGACTGAGAGAGGCGTGTTAAAAACCAATTAATCTGCGGTATAAGGACACGCAAGCTGTCGTATAAGGACATCAATTACAAGTGTTCATGGGCATTCAGCTATTTATGAGTGCTTTTTGTAGGGAAAAAATTGACAGATTTATAAACACATGTACGTTCATGTCGTTTAGAAGTAAAGGATTTTATGCAAGGCCTCCGAAACACGAAGAGCATTGTGTTCGGTTTATGACCAAATTTTTTTTAAAACGTATCGACATAAAGTGCACTGTGTTCGGTATACAACAAAAACAGGACCTTTCGTCAGCATAAAGGCCTCAGTCAATGATGTGGCAGCACACATTTTGCAATAAGGCAAAAGGGCAATTTACAAATGGATATAAACTGTGGAGTCGAAAAAACTCCGAAAGCACTGAAATGGAAAAGACATATTGGACACTGTGGTAAATGAACGAAAACCATGCTGATGCCGGTTTTACATAAATTTGCAAAACAACACACGGTTCATTATAAAAACCCTTACTCCCTAGCATGATATAGTAGAAACCATACCCATCCTGGCAAATTCCAACATCATGTGGGAAACTGTACACCATATTTCTGACTTTGATTCTGGAGGTGTGCCAACCCAATGTAAAAGACTGTCAGTTTAGGGGTACTGTACCCATCCTGACAGATTCCAACAAAACATGCCGTTGGGGTTTGATGGGTTAAGTTTCTGCACAACAATGCAATAGGCCCACAATTTTGAACAGCTTCATGGCAGAAACCACAAGGCATTGGCATCACATTTGAACGCTGCTGTCGTAAATAAGGACGTTGGAATACCTAAAATGTTCAGGGGACTTCCAGGAAGTGTGAACAAGCACTAAGCTTGGGCAGAAAGGGGAAGTACTTGGGAAAATTGTGTCTTTGATGATACAAGCATGGCATTTGGCACACAGTTAGAGTATGACATGAGAAAGATATTTGGCTATAGGGCTATCGCAGATTTGTCCTTTGAAAAATTATAGGTAGAATAACAAGCAATATCTGCCATTGCTTGTTATTCTACCCATATTTTTTAATGGACAAATCTGCAATGGCCCTGCAGCCAAATATCTTTCTCATGACATACTCTGACTGTGCGCCAAATTCCGTGCTTTTATCATCAAAGGCACAATCCCATCACCTATCTGCCGTACTATGTGGGCTATGCAGAGCTCTTCCAATTTGGATTAAAAGGCACTCTCCAAATTAGACCTCGTTCAAGTCTAATCTGTATCTGCCTGGTTTTTTTTTTAAGGGGGGGGGGGGAGGGGGGTTCTCTTTTTTTCCATTTAAAGTGAACATTTCAATGTGTTTTGTAGTTTCATGGTAGGGACTCAA